CATTTTCTATACCATTTTTTTGCATGTAAAAGCCTTGTGATACGTTCACATCAAAACGATTAAATTGCGCAATTTTTTGAATTCTCAGAAGTTTGAAAACCGCAAAAAGTGGAGAAACGCGAAGCGCGATAATAAAGTTATCAATAATTCTGTAAAAAGGGATTACGCTTCCGTAATAAATCGATACCTTCAGGTGGTCCTTTTCCGCGGCAGTACTCTACGCGTTGACGGTGATCACGTCGACAGGATACGACCATGTGACTCCTTCGACAGATCCTGGGCGGATATTTACCGTATTCTTCGGGTTACTCGGCATTCCACTCATGTTCATCACCGCCGCCGATATCGGAAAATTCCTGTCGGAGATTGTGATACGGTAAGTCGGGCACGGAACAAGGTACCTAAATCGGATTTAAAAGGCAAATTAGCAATTGAATTATTTTATAAGATTAACGACCTTTGAAATGCCTTAAATAAATTGAACTAAAAATGATATTTAAGAATTGTTGGTTCAAGCAGTAGCTTGGCGTAAAGATACAGCTTTAAAACAGCGGTGGAGAAGTAAATTTAAGCGATTTGCCGGCTAACCTTAGGCATTTAACTTTCGCCTGAAAATAATTTGTAAATATTTATAAATTTAGAGTTTAAATTCGATGGTTAAGAATATTTAAAAAAAAATTATAAATTTATGACTTTTATTTCAGGTCCTACGCGAAGCTTCTCCAAATCTGGGAATGGGTCTCCAGTGTGATAGAAGCGATCCGGGACCACCTATTTGCGTCTGATGTAGATTCGATCGATTCTGTGTAAGAATTTGGTCGATTTTTGAGCTTTTCACTTTCAATTTTTGCTCTTTTTCAATTTCGTCTGTTCTAGGCAATTGAAAAAGAACAGACGACCCCAAACTGATGAAGAGGGAAATTCAGAAGATGAGGACGAGCGGTAGGAATCACCTTAAAATACATAGTCGATTTTTTTTAAGGTTACAACTTCCGATAGCCTCCTATTTCGCGCTGATCATCGGGTACTGTTGCATTGGCAGTTTGCTGTTCAATGCATTTGAGAAGGGACCGATATGGTGGGTCGTCAAATAGTTAAATTAACGAAAAAATCTTCTTCTTCGCTGCAAACAAATTCGTTTTTCCAATGATACTAGGATTGTCATTGTCATGGGCCATTTATCTACCAAAATTCGGTATAATCGATTGTTTCAGGTCCTTCGTCCACGGTCTATTCTTCTCGTTCAACACAATTACGACAATTGGCCTCGGGAATATCTATGTGAAGAGTCATTGGTATTTGGCGGTGAGTTGCGTACTTTCAGAGTTCATCATCCGCTTCGCTCGGCTGGGCCTCGACAACGACGCGCCATGCAAAAAGAAAATCCATAGCTTTCAGTTAGTCGTAGTCTACGTCATCATTGGTTTGGCGGTGATCACGGCCTCGCTCGATCTGTGCTCTTCCACGCTGAAGAGGACGTTTACCAAGCTCCACTACTTTGGACGGTGAGTCGAGTTCATCTACAGTCACTGAACCCTTACTTTCCGCGTTGGAGATTTTGTAAATACACATTAATGGTAAATATATCAACCTACATTTCTAGAAAAATCCGAGGAGCTCGAGGCCGATTTGCGCATATGTCTGATGACATTCGGGAAGCGATGCGATTGATAGCTGCACTGAAGAAGACGAGGTAAGCAAGACGGGTAATCTCTGCTAGTTTGCCTAGAGGATCGACATCTTTCCATGGAAGCATTAATGACATCTTTCCAGAGCCTCGAAAGATCGAATAACGTTAGAAGATTTGCGACGATTCCTAGAAGTCCAAGAACACCTTCGAAAATCCCCGTTCGTCCCTCACAATGTTCATTTACTGCGATGGATCGAAGATGCGGTGAGCGGAGGCCCACCCGGGGCCTTTTTCGGGCCGTCCGGTCCGTTTGCCCCCGGTTTACCGCCGGATCCGCGAGCCGGCCAACCGCTGTTGGCCAACTATCACCAGCAGTACCTGCAGAATATGATGATGGCGTCGGCCGACTCTCCGGATGATGCATCCCCGCATGACGCTGTGAGCCGCTAACTTTTACTATTTTTGATTTTAAAGTTTTTCACAAGGTTTGCTTGGAAGCGGGGGTTTTAAAGGGAGTGGGAAGGCAAGTATTCGCCACATTTTTTGGGATTTAGCCGCAGGATTTCAGTACCTTCATGAAGAGCCCAAAGGCCATTAGACTTTTGCCTTCCCGGCGCATTGAAAATTCACTGTTTACGGTAATGCGGTACTACGGTAATTAGTAAGGCGTAATGCGTTGTAGTTAAAAAGGTCGATCGTCTGAAAAAATCAATAATGACGTTTCAAGGGTATCATACAGCATTCAGCATTTTTCTGAGCTAACAAAACCTTCTCAAATCTACTAAAGTGCTGTAAACCGTTTAATCAATCCATTGAATCCTAAAGAATTAGTTAAATTAAATTAATTATCTTACTGGACTAACCTTTCTGGACCGGACTGGACATACCTTTGCGTTATTAACTATCAAACTTACTGAATATTACGGTAAGCCTCAAATGAAAGTTGCAAATCCATCGACCTCGCCACCCGAAAATTTTATTCATAGTGCCTTTAAAATAATATTATTTAGACCAACGAAAATTAGGTTTTTACGTTCCGAAGTAAAAATTGATTTTTTTGCATTAAAGTAAAGAGAGAAAATGATAATTCGTGCAATTTATTTAAGCTTTGGTCGTTTTTACGCCGAATTTATCTTCAAAACCCCCATTAAAAAACAAGAATTAATTTAAATCCGATTTCCACAAGTTCTTTTGCAGTTTTTAATAGAAAAATCCAACAAAATGATGGATTTGGCAAAACACTAATAAACTACCCATCACTCTAGTTCTACTGGCCGAACGGCGGCGGGTAAGCAAAGAAATCCCATACCCAAATCTATGTCGGGAATGTCAAAATCCCCCACCCAATGTGCATGACATGTCCGTCAAAACGGCTAATTTTGCCTGTCTATCCCGCACGGAAATTTTTTCAAATTTTTGGTTTGCGAGAAACACCATAGCATGGAGATTTTAGGCTCTATTTTTTTTGGGTTGCCCCCAGGCTCTGGATTTATGTAGAAATTTGATTTTCACAACAAAATTTATGCAAATTTTTACAGTATGCCCAATATATGGACGATTACTCACTGAATGGACGGCCGCCGATCTCGCCGCTCGCTCATAAGATGTCGTCATCGGATCCGATGCTGTTTTTCTAGCCTAATTTCGATATTTACTTACTTGAATTTTCGAAACGATGGTAGTTATTTAGTCATATATACTTTGTAATTTTGGATTTTGGAATAGGTTTGCACGGTGCAAATTCTGAAATTATAAAAATTTTGCATTTCTAAGATTAGTTCCGCAATTTTGAATAATTTATTTTCGTTGCGAGTTTATAAAACTTTACAATCTGTTTAAATCTTCTAACACCAATATTTAAAATAGTTTAAACTATATTTAATTAAGCAAGATTGTATATTTTAAAATACAGTATTTTCGAAAAATTCGATCTTTTTCCATATCTTTCATATAAAATCGAAATCTTAGTATAAACAAACTATATAATTTTGATAAAGTTAAGTATTTAATGCTATATTTTATTATGTCAACAAAATTATAGGGAAATTCCATTTAAGCGAAGTTATTCCAAAATTGCCCTTCCCCCGATTTAGGGTCTTTTCCACTGCCCTGGTATGAATGTCTTTAATTAATGAAACCTTTAATATGCTAATTTTCGGTTTCTTTAAATTTTCTCAATTTGATTTTAGTATTTCTAGAAGCCACTCTCACTTCTTTTGCCCGGCACCCACTGGCTGATATTTCTTCGACATATCCGTGCATCTCACTGCTTCTCCCTTGCCACCACTTTTCTTTCAATTATCCTAAGTTTTCCATATTTTCTATTTTATTTTAGAGTTTTTTATAGCTCACCGCTCCTATGCTTATATTCACGATGTTTTGCAATTTTCTAACCGATTTTTCGAATTTTTGGATGCGTTTCTATCGCTCGGAACTGTGATTACCACTTTTGGGAGTTTTGCGTTTACATTTGTGTGTATATGCGTTTGATTTTTGAGGGATTTTGGATAAATAATTATCATAGCTGTGCTAATGAATGGCCCAAGGACCATCCAAACAGTCAATTTAAAGCGGCAGACACCTTGCCGGGATAGAAAGATACAGAGCACCCAAAAAAAAAGCGCCGCCGCCGCCGCCCGGTCCATCAGGGGAATCTGTTAAAGTCACGAAAATCAGAACATCGACTTTCAGAATTCCGACTTTTCTGCTTCTCAAAATTTCCATAGTCGGAATCAACATTAAGAGCTGCAGGAACCGGACGGTTCCATCCAGCCTATGCAAGTTTTGAGCTTCTGAAAATTCGAGATTTTGAACCGGCTCCCGGAGACTTGCGGCGCGGACACTTTCGGCGCGACACTTGCCGACGAGATTTTCGGCGTAGCCGATATATTTTTTTAATGTTGTAAATTCAGCATTCGACACGAATTTTGTTTGTGATTATCGTATTTGTGTCCAAGTTAAATGGATCCTCGGTCGGAGCGCCACTGAGGGCGTCAGGCAAGATGGCCCGTCGCTTCGGATGGGCTGCCGCTCCTAAGCTGCCGCTGGCCGCTTCGCCACCATTTTCCAAACCCTCTACGAAATCGCACACATCCGAAGCGACTTGGCCCCAGGTGGCACGAAGCTTTTTCCTAGTCGCAGGAGGTCACAAATAATTCTTTTCGAAATTACTTTCAATATCGCATCACTACAGGGTGTCCCCAAAAAAAAGCACCCCCCTCTAGCGGCGCGCAGTCGTGTCCAGCAGCAGCTGTTGGAAAAAAGCGGATGAAGCTAGGGCCTTTGCACAAAAAAATTTATCGCAAATTTCGCAAATATATTAGCAAAGGTTGACAGGAAAGCCATTCACAGGTCCAGCGCGATCTGGCTATTTGTCGCAGGCCAGATAAGTGGCCATCTCTAAGCCGATCAGCCATCTCGAATAACTGGAAAAGAGAAGAATTTCAAGTACCATTGATATGTCTGTTATTACCTGTCCCAGCAACTGCTATTATCTTTGACATTTGGCACTTTAATCCCTGCTGGCAGCCTGGGCAGCTTGCGCGGTCTTCGCTCGGTCCTCGTGTATGTCTCCATCAATTCGTCGCCATTCGAAAAATTCGATGCATCGTTGTGGTTTTTCGTTTACCTGGCACACGGCAGCAACTTCTTGGTGCGCTTGAGATCCTATTGGCGCCGCATCAGGCACAGCCGTGTCCGTAAAGTCCAAGCATTCGGCGTTGGGCGGTGGCGTGTTCTAAATCGAAAATCGTAGCGAACATCGACCGCACCTTGGTCAGATCTGGAGATGAATCCTATTTTGCCTTATTATCCCTTTCACTTCGCCGGAGCCAGGTTTCTACGAATTTTGCATATGAAACAAACTGGAGCACTTTTGCGGGGCCAACCGACTCAACACTGCTTTGAAAAAATTCAAAAGGTTTTTATATTATCATAGATAGAAATAGATTGCGCACGATGAACACTTCGGAATGCAGCGCGCAATCCTTGATAACAGAATGATCCAGGCTAGATTTTTGCTTAAACTCTCTGCCGAAGCTTAAGCTAACCTACATATGGGACTGGTTGCCCTTGTTCCGGTTGCGTCTGAACAGCCTGTTCTCCTTCATCTTCGAGCGACCCAGGTGGCGGCGTCAGGTTGATAAAAGAAATTGTAGAGTCGCTTCGCGTCTGTAATCGGCTGGCCTTCGGACTACCCTGCATATTCTACACCACCACATCATGCCCTACCTCCATCAAAAAGCACGCTGATAGCTTTAGATACCTCCCATAGCCAAATCCCCCCTTAAAAAACTACTTCGATACCTTCCTGATGGCTTCAGATCCCCCATAACAGAAACACCCCGTGGAAAGGGGATACGATGCCCGCCGTATCATCCCCATCATTTAAAATCGCGTTTTAGATCATAAAATTAAGTTTGAAAATTCTGAACTTGGTCAGTTTGGGGCTGTCTGACTGCGCTCTATCCGAATCCGTATCATATCCCTTATTTTATAAAGTTAATTTTAATAATTTAAACAAAAAACCTTTTCATAATTTTTTAATCAGTTTGGGGGTTTCTGACCACGCTCTATCCGAATCCGAAGAGACCTAAGCTCTAGCTCCTTTCCTCTTCGAGTTGAATCTTGCAGCACACACTGACGCCTCTCTCCAATTATTTGTAGTTGATTTAATAGGCCGAGAAGGCATGTTTTTGGATTTGGGCATGGTAGTCAACGCGCCGGCTATTTATTTCTTGCGTTTCTGATGCATCGGCATGTTTCTGCTACTCGCTTTCCACCGTAGACGGCTGCTGATAATGCGTCGCTGTCGCGATCTGCTAGAAAATGGGAGAGCCGACTAGGAGGCGGATGCCCTTTTACAGATTTTCCGAAAAAAACGAACATCTCTATCTCCAAGGGGATGTGTCGAACGGGAATGCTAGTTACACCATTCGAAATTTCTACTGCGGATCCGATCCCGATCTTTACCGATCCGGGTCCATCGGCGAACAACCCTGGTCATGATAAAAAATGTTTGCAAGCTTGCCGCTTCTAGGGCTTTCGGCTGATGTAACTATCAGCACGATCCGTTCCTCTCTATTCATATAAAAGTGAGAGCGTGGGTCACTGGCGTGGTCGCAACAATGTTCTAAATGCGTGACCCCCTTACCTCAGACTCTACAGGGAGCACGGCAGGAACTACCGTCGTGTTCCCGGCCGTCATGCGACGCAATGATGGTGGATTGTTAGCTGGGGCAACGTTGGCCGCATTGTGCTCCGAGCATATCTAGGCACGGGCTAGAGAAATAAAATTCCTTTCTGAGTTTTTCAGCAGGCAGAATCGTCAACATCTCGAAATTTGCCTGCCAGGCTCTAGAAAAACGCCTAAGATTTTTACTTGATGACGGAAGCGTTGTTCCTCGTCCATCATCGTAAAGTACGATTTGTCCCAATTGACCACAAGCAAATCGTTTGTCTTGCGGTTATTGTTCAGCCCTGAAAGCCGAAGACTAGCTGGTTGTGGAAGTTTGATTAAACGGCGCAGCGAACGGAGAAGCTTACACCGTAGAACCGGGTGCGTCGCCCAAACCGCCCGCAGTCGAAGTACATCAATCACATAATTCACCTGGAACGGAAAGTTTTTGAGCTGTCCGGCAGGCCTTACCTTCATCCGAAGCAACGTTGCTCGCGCGGATTTCCTGAGGTCCTTGCCTTCGCCGAAAGCGAGTGATATCATCAGATTCATCAAGAGCACGACCGCTATCAAGTAAAAGAAGAACACGAGCACGATCGGCTCCAGTTTTTCTTTGTCCAAGATCTCCTCTAGTTCGATCTGAAGCAAACCGACTAAATGAGCATTTGGGGCATGCCTCTCCAAGCATCATCGTCGAAGTTTTTGTGACAACGCGGAAGAACAGGAGCACCGCCGAACTTAAGGTGCGGTTCCCATGCTGGAAACGATGTTGTATGCATACCTCACAAAAGCGCGCCGATTTTTTTTTGTCTAATGCAACCAAAAATAACCGAGAAATTTTCGACTTACGAAATTCTGCGACATCTTTGTCCAGGGTTTGATGTCGGCCTCCGTCATCGATATGTAGAAGGCAGCCGAGAAACCCAATAAGATCGGCCACCAAATCAGCGTTAGCTGAAAGGAGGCTTGCGATCGCTCGCTCTCTCTCACTCTCTCCTCTCTCTCTCTCATCGGTAAATAAACTTACATGCCCCAGGGAGAAGATGGTCTGCCATATAATCAGAATGTAACTGCCAACAGGGCTGGACCGTAACACGCATAGAAAATTTATCCACGAAAAAGTTAACACCAAGAGCTATAAAGTAAGACTAAACGGGCCCAACGCAACAAAGTGAAACCCTGAACTCGTGGTTCCCGTCGTCATTCCGCAATAATGATGAGCATACATATATAAATGCCAGCAAGTACGACGCTAGCCGAAATCGCCTGATCCATGACCATCCAAACAGGCAACACTGATAGACCTAAACATGGAGGAGTTCAGTTAATGCCAATGAACGGTTTGCTCAAATGAAATTTCTTAATTTCGAAATTGCCTAACGTCGAGATCAGAGTGTTGATCTTTTTTGTATAGGATTGGGGGGTTATCCGGGAAAATTAACGTATGTAAACTTCGAAATTATAAAATTTGGCTGTGGTTCGGTTCTTCACCCCCCCCCCCCGCGCCCCCAGCCGATCCCACCTACTCTAAATCGACCTACATATTTGCAAAGTCTACCAAAATACTCGCCAGAGCAAGACAAACATTTTGGTATACTTCACACATCTGTAGATGAACAGGGAGCCGAGATACCATTGAGGGTCGGCGGGGGGGGGGGGAGGGTAAACTGGACTCTTACCTGAGGTTTCGACATTATGATAATCCACACCCAGAAAGAACAAAATGCGAACGCCGGGACTCACCGTCCAACAAATGACGGCTAACGCGTAAACAACAATAAAAAAATCCGTCCAAACCACGTCGTCGTCGTCGTAAATACTTTTGCTGAGTAGTAGGAGCAGGAAGAACTTGTGGACCAAGATGTGAATGGTGTACAGGGGCGCGTTGGCTGGAACGGACGTTAGGCGTTATAAACCAGCGTAAAACGTTGGCAAATGCCATCCCCGTGGCCACCTACCCAACAACGCTTCGTTCACATAGTGCAGTAATAGCGGATGTTCAAACACCCCCCATTGTTCGTCATCACGCTAAAATGATCGTTATTCTATAAACCTCATATTTTTTGTAAAAAAAATACGATTGCCGGTTTGCTATTGGTTGTAGTGGTGGTCAATACCAACAAGTTCTTGCAATTTCTGCCAATTCAGGCACTCCAAGTCTTCGTTTTCGGTGCTGTAGTCAAAAAAGACGTAGGTCTTCTGCCGCGCATCGTCGTGGTGTACGCAGCTGCGCTGTTGACATATTTTCTGCGTGACGCTGAAATTGGAACGTTTTGCGGCTGGCTTTATCGCGAGGCAAGGAGTGTTCAGAAGCGATTCCAAACAAACTACGACATCCGAATATTTCGAAGTTATGAAGTTGTGAAATAATTTAATTCAGGTTTATTCACATTTAGCCACTAAGCTTTTTTAATCGGGCCAAAGTGTGGACGCTATCAATAGCATCGACATTCTGGTAGCACGAAGAGTCGCTTGATTCTTGTAAAATTATGCAATTCGTATATTTTGGCGTCATCCTCTTGGAAGAAAAATAATTAGAAATTGTGCTCCTTCGCCCAAGTGTCTTGATAGGAAGCGTCAACGCATACCCTCTTTCCTTGGACTTCTCTTCTGTAGTCTGCGCCCTGGAAACATCTTTCTTTTGTGTTACTCAGCTGTTAGTGCTTCGATGCATATTTTTCGATTTGATTCTTACGTCATTGTCGAAAACTTACGCGTTCCCGTTGCTCGGCAGTAGCTTTTGATTTTCCACCCGGTCGCCGTGCGTTCCGCGCCTGAATAATGTGCTAGCCTTTTGGTGGTCAACTATCGGGGCCCAAGTTGCGTTTACTTGGACTCGGGTAGCCTCGTGTTGGACATCCACAGACTCACGTATTGTGCACGTTAATTTCCTCCAAAGCGATACCCCCATCCGAATCGGGCATGTCGCCTAAATAATCAAATATTGGCAAGGGGAAGAAGATACAAAGTGATCGAACCGACTGACGGGGACAAATTCTATTAATGCTGTCAATGGTCACCCAATTCGTTTTTGACAGAAAGTCAGTGATAAATTTAAAACAATTAAATTAGCTTAGCAGGTAAAAATAAGCTAGGCGTGGAGCAAACAGCCAAGAAAAAAATGCAGTTTTTGGCGCAGGTGTCTGCCGATAACGGTGGCCCGCTTATCGAGGTTTCGCAAATACCTTTTTTCGCCCAGCCCATGTGACTGCTCTTCCAGAAACTAAGTCCAGATAACCGATTTTTTTTCGCCCGAATCAATTTGCTTGACTTCGGCTCCGCTCCAAGATCGCGGGGAGACCACCATTGTGGGTAACATGACAAGCCTTGGCGGCAAAGCCTTGCGGATCTCTCTTCGCGTCAATTATCTGCCTTGTTAGGCCAAAGCGTAGCGATCTAAGTCCAAGATATAAACTTATATTCGTTGAAGGAGCCAAGCAGTTCGAAATAGTCAATGCGTTGTAATAAGAATCCCTCTGTTTCGAAGGAAAAACATAGGCGAAACTATTTTTACGGTTTTCGGGGCTCAGGCTCGACGACGTCCGGGTAGTTCTCGTTCGACAGATAGGCAGCCATCTCCAAGACGATCAGCCATTTCGAGTATTTGGCATAGAGAGTCATCCGATTTTCCGAATGTTTGCCGTGGCCTATTTTGTAAGAATTCATTAAATTTAGTTCGAAAAAGCGCAGAATATAAATAATTGAGGTAGGAGCTTTGGGATCATACCTTATTGTAAAAAAAGTCGTTGCGACAAGCTACGGTAATTGAGCTAAATGTGTTAAGGAAAGGCTAGCAGAAGGACTTTGTGGCGCTGCGACCTGTCACTCTCAACGGAAAAATTCATTGTTGTAAGCTGGGGCTGGTTTTAACAGAACAGCAGCTAGAAAATTCAATGATGATTGTTAGGAAATACTTTATTATTCAATCAGCGGCCTAGCTTATGAAATGGGTTTGTATGGATCGTGCATTTCAAATTCTTCCAATTGATCTGAAGCCGGGTTCCGTCGATTTTTGTGTATGTGAAGCCATCTTCATAGGGGGCCCCCGAGCGCCCAATTACAATAATGTTCCATTCGATTGAATGACGCCTTCCATCCATCCATTCTTGCACCAATCCATCGATCAGCGGCAATAGCAGACGCTCTTGGCCGGGTTGTGTGCGGATCGTCAATTTGGCGGTCTTGACGAGCAGACATACCATTAGGTCCTGGTCTGTCCGCGTACTAAAATCAACTTCTTCCGCATTACCGTTGATAAAACGGAGAAATTCCGCGGTGATATTTAGTCGCTGCAATTTGATGCTCTCATATTTTTGATTGTCGGGTGCACACTGGCGTAAAAACGGAATCGGGTCTTCAATAATCTGCCAGATCGTCAGGTTCAATGTTTTCAAGTCACGTGGCAGTCGCTGGCCTGGCCGGCTGGACGCCGTTAAGAGCTTCACGCTTCGCCCAGCCAGCAGCAAATCTTGGACACGCCGATCGGTGATAGTTTCGCATCGATAGTGTCGCAACTCGGGCCAGAATTCGGTCACCTAAAACGGTCGGGGGTTCTCCACGTGCAAAATAGACATTTTTTTTTTGTCAGTTGCTTTCCATAACTCAAATTGCGGTATTTTGAGCTGTGGATAACACACTTGTTATATTTTTCGATGCTCTATCCAATCACGTTCAAGAATGTCGAACAATATAGAAAGTCCCGAAAAATAGCTTACCAACCCATTTTCAAGGATATTTTCGATTTTGTTATTTCCATATTTCGATATCTTGGATTTTATGTACTGGGTGTCCCAAAAAAGCACCCCCTCTAGCGGTCCGGCGGAAGCACAGATCAGGATGATTTTTATACCATTCCAAAGCCCGCGAAAAGGCGAGAAAACAAGCGGGCATTTTCCAAAATGTGTTCTTGTTCGTCCGAAACAAGCAGTTTGGCAATTAGCATGCAGATCTCGCGTAAATCTGCCGTTTTCTTGGATTTTGGGGGTGAAATTCGCGAATAAAAATACATAATAAGAAAAATGAACCCTCCTTGTTTTCTCGCCTTTTCCAGAGCTTTCGATAGATACCTAAACGGTAGAAATCGGACACGCCTGCGAGCGGCTAGAGGGGATGCTTTTTTTGAGTATTGATCTAGGAAAATTCTTAGTATATTTTTGATGTTCTACCGCGTAGCGATGATGTAGTCGACATTCACAAATTTACACATTGTGAAATGTCGACATTATGGAATTTCAATATTCTAAATTTGATCCTCTGAAATTTCGCCCTCATGAATTACGACATTGCGGAATTTGGACATTATGAAGGCAAATCAGCCCAGTCATTCCAACAACTTGTTATAAGATTAATGATTACCTCCAACCCACGCTGGGATACAAATACTTCGCATCGTAGCGTAAAGCGGCTGCCCACGGACATTGAGCGTGTCTGCTCCCACGCAAAATTGCACGTTCTCGCATAGCGAAAGCGAGTGCGTAGGTCGGTCGCCTCCAAGAAGTCCAGCAAACGACGATGGAATAAAAGGGGTAGGTCGACGAAATTCATCGGGGTAGTGGAGAAGATGCCCGATAAGTGAATGAGAAGGGGAAGCGCCGCACCTGGTTAGGTCATCATTTTCCCGCTTTCCCCAGGAATCACGGGATGGCCTGCGGCTACGCGTAGACAGGCGTGCCGGACCATCAATCGGATAGTTTAAGAACCAAAGAAAACTTCGCCCTACAAAATTAAACATCAGGTACTAAAACGTTAGTTTTTGAAGCTGGGCTTTAAAGGGGCTCGGAAGCCTACTGGTCAAAAAATCAAGGGTCACTTCCTATATGTACCAGAAAATTGATTTCTTTGTGAAAAACGTAAAATATTTGAGTAAAGCCGAAAATTTCATGAGTGAAAAACGACATTTGGAGTGCGCGGCGATTTCCTGTCGTAATGCCTTATAAGACGCCCAATCTCTCGATCTCGTGATTCTCCGGTCATTTTTCATAGTTAAAAAGTTGCGAATGATCAAAATTTGATGAGAATACAGAAATAACTTTCGAATTTTTAAATTGAAACCTTTTCACGCCCAAACTGGGCAACGCGCAAAGCAAAAAAAGGCAGCGCGGAGCGCCATGGACCAGATTTCGGAGCCCTTTTAAAGGGACTATCCCAGCTTTGAAATCGTGTATATGTAGCCCACGCGCGAGGGCCTCGCCATTAATGCAGCGACATAGTTCCCTTTTTCCAAAGTTCCATTACTTTCTCGGGATTTATGCAACGCCATTCGATAGCACATCGAAAAGTCAGCTAGGAGTTTTTGTTTAACTCACACTACCGTGACATGAAAAAGTTAGGACAATAACAAAAATAGCCTCTGCAAAATCTATTTTAAAGCGCAATTAAAATACATTGAAATTTAGTTTTTAATGCCCTATCGAATGGCGGGGCAAAAATCCCGACAAAATAGCATAAACGTCGAAAAATTTTGGTGTCACTGGGCTGGAGGTTTGTTTGTAGTAAAAAAAATAATGCAAAAAATAGCTATGGCGGTCCTAACGGCAGAATCCCCCCACCCGCATAGCCTACATATACCCAAAACCGAGACTACAATGGGGTAAGTTCCGATTAAGTGGTCGAGGCAGCCGGAAACTGGAACTAACGCCGAAAATGTTTGTTTTGGGTGCACTCCAACGCGAACCATGCCCACGCAAAAATTGCTCAAAGCGAACTTGACGGGAAAGTCTTCAGTTTCCAGGCTTACAAGGAGTCGTTTTTAGGTGATATTGGAGTTTTTGAACGAGACCTAGCTAGTTCGATACAGAAAAAAATTCTGAACAAGATGTCGGTTTCCAAATCTGCTAACCGTGTACGCTGTTCAATAAAAATTAACTTGAAGATCATTAATCTAACCATCATTTCCCGCCTGATCCGCAGATTCTGCGCTCTGGGTCCGCGCCAACATAACCCCCTTTAGGTCTCCCTCCGGCCATGACCAGCTGGCCTATTGGTAGTGCGCTTGCTTCATAAGTTTTTGTCTTTTTTTGCCAGCGAGTTCGACTCCTCGCTAGTAAAACTCTTTTGCTTTTTGCTCGATAATGCCAAATTCGATTTCAATGACATGAAAAACCAAAAAGCAAAACAATAAATCACAATAAGTTCCGAACCCTGGGCATAATTTTGCAAAAGTTTGATGGGCGCCGGCACTATCCACTAGGCCACGATCTCATGCGGATGCTGGTTCGCGCTGTGGGCTATGTCCCGGGCCTGATCCATGGGACGCAGCCTGACGTCCAGGAATTTTTTCATTAAAATTAATTTTTATTGAATATAGTAAACGGTTAGCAGATTTGGAAACCGACATCTTGTTCAGAATTTTTTTCTCTATCGAACTAACTAGGTCTCGTTCAAAAACTCCAATATCACCCAAAAACGACTCCTTGTTAGGCGTGAAATTCACGCAAGAGGGGATAACCTACCATCCGTAATTTCATGATTGGACTAATCGTTTTGGCAATTTCTTTCAACCTGTATGCAGACACCTTGGCGGAAGTGAACTTCACCAGGTTTGGGAAACCCGGTAAGCTTGTGATTCTGAAGGCACAAAGAGCGAGAGAGAGAAAGATCGAGAGAGAGAGAGAGAGAGAGAGAGAGAGAGAGAGAAAGAGAGAATGCGAGAATGAGAGAGCTGTAGGAAAGTGAGAGAGAGAAATAGGGAAAGTTACTTTTAGAAACAGTTTTTACCTAATTTTAGAAATCTATGCCGATTACATAAGCAACGTGACCGCTCTAAAAGATGAACTCTTCAACAAAAGGAACTACGATAACACCCTATCACCGATATTTGGTTGGATGCCGGACAATATTACTGGTATTAAAATGAGAGATTTAATGAGAGTTTTAGAATCTCCCGTTCAACCCCTCAAAATCGGAATCACCCTCTACTTCATCA